GCAATTCATTTTATTGTTCTTTCATTCCGTAGTGACAAATAAAACGTTTTCAACTGAGAACGGCGCATTTCCTAAAATGCTGTTATGCCTATGCTCTCTGATACTCTGAAAGTGTCGTATTAAATTCAATCAAATTAAATTTAATACTTGTGCAAAACTTGCTTATAGCTAATGGCATTTCATATGTATGGGAATTGAGTTCAGAAGTTCAAACATACTTTTGGATGGTAGGTTTCATCGTGTTTACCGATCAGATGATCAGATGATCTGTAAAGAGGCAATTGTAGAAGCTGTTGATCTAGGAGATCAGTACTTTTGTTTATTGCGTGAAGTTGGCGGTACTTATTGAGATTACTCGTGAATTTATGCATGAATATCACAACGAGAACTATCGAAGTGCCAACTGAATTGAATGATGAGCGTGTTCGTACTCGGATTCTGTTAACGATTTATTACTCAATTCAGTTTGAATCCGAAATTCGCTTTCAGCAAACATGTTCCATTCTATTATCTTCGATCAGAACATTAACTTGATTTTTTATGCATTCGCTTCATTTCAGTGTTCTTTCCAGCTGAAAATGTTATCATTTTCTCACGAATTTATTCTAAAAAGGAATAAATAATTTATAAATAATAATAAATAATAATAAATTTCTTCTTTACAACTTATGTGCTGTGTCAGCGATGCATTCGCATCATCACTCCTTTCTCTGTTCAATGCATTTTTGTACTTTATCCAACATTTTTTAATGCTTTCGCTGAAAATCTTTTTCGAATTTCAAAATCTAGAATCGATGATGATTAGATTATATGACTGATCGGATACAGCAGATGCATTTCTTTTTTATTCAGCTTCTTCTCACAACTTCACTGATGTGCTTTTTAGGCGAGCAAGTTCTAAATGAATTACAAGATTATGGAATCACTCGGAAATTGTATCCGAATTGTAACTCAAATCTAATACCAAATTGTTCTATTTCATTAACAAAACTTAATTCTTCAGACAATTACGTTCGAAACTTCAATCATTCCTTTAATCATTACTGAAACAGAAATCTTCTCGAGCAGATTGCTTTAGAATAGAATTCTCACAAATGCTTGTGCAAATGTTTATGTATGATGTTCTGATACATTTTTTTTTAGCTATCAAAAATATATTGCTGAGCGCATCATTAAATTATGCATTTCAACAGAGAACATGATTTGAACTTGACGGCCATTAAAAGCACATAACAAGAACAACAACAATAATTCTTTAAGCTAATGTTATGAAACGAGATGGATGCATTTTGAAACTGATTTATTGACTCGAACGTCAGCGAAATGTTTTAGTATTCGTTTCGAAAGATGTTGCTTCGAGTGTATCGTTTAATGGATTTTCATTTCTGTAGGTGGTATGAAAGGAGGCATTATCGAGCTGCTCTGATGATATATCCAATGGATTTAGGGTTATTGATGATGCAGTATCACTGAACTGAATGCCAATCATCAGCTCGTCATCTTGATTTAACACTTCCGAATGTCCGTATCAAATTTCTGTGAATGTTTCGATTGTTCTCGTTGTAAATTCACTCGTGCAATCGTTTATGCATTATTTATGCACGAATCTTCTCGTTATCGTTACCTTCTCCTCGTGTTCGAGTGCGATGCCCTTCGACAAATGTTTCAAGATTCGTTCGTATCCTTCAATTAACCTCTTTCATAAATAATGTTTACTGGTCACATATTCACAAAAAATATATAAGGAAACTAAAGGTTGTTTTCAAGCATCAGCAATCCATTATCATACATCACTCTATTATTCATTCATCTTGATTAACACCACATCTCGCTCACTTCTGATTATACTATCACATATTTTAATGTCACTCAATTAATTTCCATGTTCTGAATTGTAATCATTCCATGATAAAAACAATGACAAATCCTTTCATCAACAGTGACATTATGAAGTGAATCGATTCTCTGCTACATGTCTGTCACTCATATTCATTCGATATAAACAATCATAAAACAAGTGAATTGTTTTACCGTGACTAACTGTCAGTAAGAAATGATTTATCGAATTGTTTCAGGACGAAGTAATCTAACGATTCGCTAAGTAAGGTGTATTTATTCATTTTATGCTTCTTCAGCAATATGAACGATTCACTAAACTATTTTGCATCTCCGTTCAATATTACTGATCACAGAGGAATGGGCGACGTCGACCATGATTTTTTGCAGGTGATTTAATGATTATTCTGTTGTATTTGTCGAAATAAATCCTAGCACAATTATGATTTGTTATTACATATCATTATCACTTGATGTGTGCATCAAATATCACCCGTTCGATCATTATTATCGTCGAATTCTTATTGTTGCTACTGATATCGAAATAATTCGAGTTTGGCGACAGAATTTCTTCAAATTAGTCTTGTTTGTATACTTTCACCTGCATATAATTGCGATATCACACGTTTCTAGCACCTGTCAGTAGAGACATCGTAGGTGTTGTCAGTGGTGAAAATGTCAATCATTTTCAAAGTTTTTCGACTTCGACTAAGATTAAATCACACGGATAATATCCATCAATACAATATTTCAACATCAAATTTATTCACATTGATTTAGGTCTTCTTTTTGCCCGTTTTAGTCGTGCAGAATTCGATTAACGAGACGAATATTTCATTCGTTCGTTAATTCCATTTTACGTTCACCTTATGCTGAAGTGTTTTGAAGCACTTGAAAAGTGTTTAGTGTTGATAAACACTACCGAAGAATCAATCATCACATTCGAATCTAATAATTAACACGTCCGGCATGTTCACTCTTATTTGACTCATTGAGCATTCGAATTGTTTTTGTTGTAAGAACACTGAGATGATTCTTGGAGAAGCAAAAATTTCCTACAGAAAAGTGCTTTCACACTCAATATACTCATCATCGCTTTCACGAAACTACTAAAAATTTCTCAGTTCTGCAAAAAATGACTAAATTCGCACAGCTAAAAGCATTCATTTAAATATTTCTCTGCTGTGCGTTTCGATTGCATTTGATTGCACTACTGTTGCACTATTATCAAGTTCTCATTCAAACCACCCCAAAAATTGTTTTATTCAGTTTTATTTTATCACAATTCATCATCCATTCACTAAAAACTTCATCCTCTGTACACACAACAATCCTTCATTCCGCATCCACCACACTTGCATTGATTTACTGCATATGTTCAGTTTGGCATCGAATCGACAATTACTACATCCACAACTCCAATCAGTGTAATACTTCTGGATAGTGAACAGTATTTACATCATAAGAATCTAATGTAATTAAAATATGCATAAAGGACGGGTATATACGCATGATTCAATTCAAATATTCCCTCAATTCCATTCACATATGATATGCATAGCGAATGTGGTTTCGCATATTATAGATCTGCTGCTTACAAGATCTTTCAACAGCTCATAATTTGATTTATTTCATTGACACATCATTTGAGATATCATTGATTTATATTATAATGCAAAGCAAACTTTATTTGCATCTCCAAAATAGCACATTCGAAAGTGATGATAAAATCCATTTCAGATGATATCAATAGGGATAGTCTTGATCATATTAATACTGGCATGTGTTATTGGTAATTTATTGGTCATTATTGCTATTTTGATTGAACGTGATCTGCGTAGTAGACCACAATATTATTTGATATTCTCATTAGCTGTTGCCGATCTCTTGGTAAGCTTCAGAACAATGCTGTTTCTATCTTGTTCAGTCCACTCCAACCACCTACCTTCCCTTGAATGTTGAATTGACAGCGTCCATCTTCTATTTTGAATGCCAGTCCCAATTGTAACTTCAGTACCGACCTGATCAACGAAGAGGAATATTACTCGTGTATGATATGATATAATTCCTTATGTAATTCAGCTATAAAGTGACACTCTAATTATTAGAAAGTAATTCATGTCGGGATAATAACTGAGGTAATTCAGGTTGGTCTCATTGTAACACCGCTTGGAGCGTGGTCAACCGTTCTAAGAGCTTGGACTCTTGGTGTGACACTGTGTGATTTTTGGATTAGTGTTGATGTGCTCGTTTGTACAAGTTCAATTTTGCATCTTGTTGCTATCGGTTTGTTGATTACATTTCGATGAGTGAAGGGGGTTTACGATAGTCACTTCGAGAGATGTTTTACCAAAGAATACCAACTCAGCAAAATATAACCACTTTGCAAGCACACAACAATTGCTATGATTCACGCGATAGTGAAATATTATCATCATTGAAGCACTGGATCGTTACTGGAGTATAACGGATATCTGCTATGTTCAAAATCGAACACCGCGACGAATTTTCGGAATGTTAGGAAGCATATGGATTGTATCGCTGTTGATTTCATTGGCGCCGATCCTCGGATGGAAAGATGAGGATTTCTTTGATCGGGTCGAGAAACAACAAGTCTGTTTGATTAGTCAACAGATTAGTTATCAGGTTCGATTACAGCTCTTCTCACTGGTCCATCCGGATGTAGCAGTTCGTATATTTCAGGTGTTTAGCACAGCAACTGCCTTTTACATACCGCTATGTGCAATCATTTGTATTTACTATAAAATAATGCGTGCTGCAACACGACGATTCAAACGTGAACGAGACCGTAGAACGATCATCCACCGTAATGGAAGCACTGATTTGCTGAACAACCAGCATCGTCTTCTTGACCCCAAAAAGGTTTTCGTTTTAATATGCACTGTTTTACATCGATTCTGTGTTACGCCCTCCATCATTCGTTCTACAGATGAGTGTTCCAACAGTGACGTTATCACGGACATCATCAGCTGAACGAAATCGCACTTCATTATCCAAAGCAAATGGACAAAAAGTAGTGACAGATGTTCAATCGAAGGTTGTTTTCTTATTTTGCAGTCGAGTGAGTGCAGCTGCATTGCTACCTTGAGTGCATAGCGCTCATTTGAATGATATTCAGGTGATGGAAAGTAGTCCTGATACGACAACTGAAGAGGATCGAACTGCGATGCCATCTAACGGTCACTGCATGGTTGAGACACGCATCGACGATCACGTAGCGACTCATAGCAAACGTATTTACTTACTGATTAAGTGTGTATCGAAAGGCAGATGCATGAGCACGGTTGATAGCATTCAATGAACTCTGATACAAGTCTGATCATTGAATTCGAGCATTCCAGCAAATATAAGCTACGATCGAATTTCGAATGGATTCTGTGGTCATACAAATCACTGTTTGAGTCATCATCAAAATTATCATTAATCCTCGTTAGTGATGGTAACCGAGCGAAGTTCGGTCGGTCAAATTCGATGATAATCAATCGGATTCCGATCGAAGAAATTCGAAATTCGGTCGGAATACCGAAATCCGGAATTCCAAAAAAATGGACTCGGGTGGATTGCAGTCGAACGAAGCCTTCGGTTACCCTCACTAATGCACACTCATTCGAAAGTTGAAAAGAAGATGTAACTGAAATGCGTGAAAGTTCAGCGATGTTGACACGTTTGATATTACCAAAGAAGAGGCGTTCAAAAGAAAGCAGTGAAATGAAACGTGAGCGTAAAGCTTGGAGGACCTTAGCGATAATCACTGGAACGTTCGTTGCGTGTTGGACACCATTCTTTCTCATCTCGTTATATCGACCCATTTGTCAGTGTCGTATTCCGATCCTTCTTGAGAGTGTTACCAACTGGTTGGGTCAGTTCTTCGATCATTCATTTATTCCATCGTCACCACTTTAGTACCAATTCATGCCATCTTCTCATAGCACATTTAAATCTCGGCTTGTAATTGCAATCAAACTCCTATCTTCAGGCTATTTAAACTCAGCATTAAATCCGATAATTTACACAGTATTTTCGCTCGATTTCCGACGCGCATTCCATCGTATTCTTAAACGATTGTGTTTGATGGAGTCAACACGCTAAACGGTAATGACTTGTGACGATTTGTCTCAATTAAATCATGCAGTATTGACGAAAGCAACCATTAATTAATACCAATAACACTTGCAGTTTCTTGTTCTTGGCGAGCAACCACATCACCTTCACCAACTGATAAGAAAACTGTTCGATGGAATGAATAGTTGTTTGCGTTTCTATTTTCATGGTTCATTTGGATGACATGGATGTAAATAAACAAATCATATTATCATTGTTTTTCATCATTTGTTATACGACTTTTTGTTTTTTGTAACTGAAATATGCAGGTGATTATTAAGTGACTCGTATTTGCCGTAGAATATACGATTATATAGCAACAATTATGCATAAGGAAATCATCTGAAGTGTGAGTTGTATTGATCTGATGTAAACCACTTCATAATGGTAACAGCAAATTACAGTAACGAAACCAAATTTAAAATTAACAACGAATAAACCACAAAA